GTATTGTTGGTGTTAAGTAAGAGGGAAGCCAACGAGCCTAACAGGATACTTTAATTTAGGCCTCGCCGATTGAGGATGTAACAAATTCTGCCTCCTCCCTAAATAATATAATTGTCCTCTGATCTTGAAGGGGTTTATAAAGTTGTTAATTATAGAGCGAAAAAGTATATGAAAAGAATTGGTTTAGAAAAGAAAAAGTTACTCGTAGGTTTTATTGCTCTCTATGTTGCAAAAATAAAAGATATGCGGAGAGCTAGTATATAAATTAGAAATAAGTTGATTTGTATATAAATTTAACCAATCAATCAATTGAATATAAATTAATCAATCAATTATATTGTAAATTCAATTATGATATTTATTTTGAGAAGGGTATCTAGGAAAAGAAAAGCAGAAGAAAACAAGATGATAGTAGGTTTTGTAGCATTATAAAAAGAACAAAAATGATAGGTTTTGTTTTGTTGGGGGCTTGAAGTGTGTGGGAGAGGAAAATGGGTTGCGACTTGGCAGGGTAACGAGGTTTGAGTATCTATCAATTTGTTGACGTGTCGTGAAATTTCATTGCTAATTAATTAATTAATTAATTAAAGCGCTTAATGCGCGAAAGAAGGAAAAAAAAGGGACGAGCAGAAAAATGACACGTGCATGGTTACGTGGTGCGTCTGGATAGGCATGGGATGTGTTTGGCTCTCCCCTCTTTCAAGTTTCAAGCCGACAAAAATTCCCTTTTCAAACATTATACTCCGTAGGAATACGAAAATGAGAAAACGTACTCTGACTGTTTAGAACCCCCCCACCCCCACCCCCCCCCCTCAATCATGCCATGGTGGCGGTCATGCATGTTTACATACTCCGTCCCTCAAAACAAAAATTTGCTGTACTTACAGAATATTTTTTTAAAATGGATTATATTTATTTATAAGTCAAAACAAAAACAAAAAGTACTCGGTATATATGTAAGAGTAATTTACCTAAATAGGACTAAAACATAATGACTTTCCCAATATAGGACCATATATTTTTATTTTCCAATGTAGGACCTTTGATCATTATGAAATAGTCATTATTCAAGTAAATTTCCATCATTATGGACATTATTCCTCCCACTAGGTCATTATTAAGTCCTATTTAGGGAATAAAAAAGTTTAAGTCCTACATTAGAAAAGTCATTATGTTTTAGTCCTATTTAGTGCAAATTTCACTATATGTAACTTAATACGAGTAGTAAAATTATGTGATTGAAAGTGAGACAGATGAGTGGTATGATGTAAAACACAAAAAAATTATTTAATATGAAAAAAAGAATTGAAATCTTATTTTGAGACAAAAAAAGACATTGTTGAATATTATTATGGGACATAGAGAGTTTCAATGTGTAATTCATTGTGGAATGGAAGGAGCATATATTGTCGGTAAATTATGATGAGTGACTGAATAATATTCTGCAAGTACCAAGTGCATGATTGTTCCACTCTTTGCCACCGGTCTGCGATCAAAATCTAATTTAATTTACTCGAGATGGGCATCATCCTTTGTGATCAATTTTCAAGTAAACAAAAAAAGTTAGGGTTTGGATGGAGGGAGTAGCAAAATAGGAAGGTTAGGGTTTATACGACAGGGGGCTTTGCTTCATGCGGGCGTCTCTTTCATGCACTCAAAAATTTTATTTTGAAGCACTCACCTTAGGGTTTTTTTTTTCTTCAAGAAATTTAATTTATGTGGTGTTCAGATATGGGAAACATTCTCTTTGTGCTAATTCTTAAATAATAATGGTAATTAAGAATGAGTTGGATGCATGTTGTCTCTGTGACCCTAGCTATTTATTGTTCATTAAATTGGATGTAACCTGATGAAGACACTTTATTAACAATTCCTAAATTAATTCCCTAATACCCCGTAAAACATATCCACTTTGAGTTCTCTGAGAATTAAAAAAGATTGGGAAATGAAAATAACTACCTAAAAATTTTATATAAAAAAATATTTCCTTTGTCCAAAAAGTTTCTTTTCATATTAACTATATTTACACAGTCAAATTTTATTACTTTAGTTTCTTATTTTCCTTTTTTTTCAATTTATAATCTTGTTACCTCTTCTTTTGCAAAATTTTTTATGCGGTTTTAAAAAATATAAACCTTATTTTTCAATTTTATATTTGTAATAAATTAAAATAAATTGAATTAAAGCAACCTCAATTAACTCTCGTATGCAAACCGAAATTGAATGAAAAATTTGAGAAAAAGGGAATCAAATATTGTGTGACGTATAGGGAGTATGGTACTCCGTATTATTTTCCAAAAGTGAAAGAGGAAAAAAAAAAAGAAATTTGAAAAAAACAAGAAACAAAAGAGAGGGATTTTTTATGGGCGGGAGGGGGGTATTTCATTGTAAGTCTCCACAGTCCACACTGGGTCTGTTTTCCTTTACAAAAATAATTTCTTTTGAGTTCTTACTTTCAATAGGAAGTACTCCGTAAATAATAACTCCATATCTTCTAAGTGAAAGACACTTAAAAACAATCACGATAGAGCAATAAAATGGAATGAGACAATTATGAGGCCGGTGAGAGGGGTAAATATGAGAAAACTAACTCTTATTAAGAGCATCTTCAGTGGCGAGGTAATTAAATAGTCTCCACGCACTGACACATCAGCTCCAACTTCATTCTTCCTCGCGGGTCATTTGTCTTCTGCCTCTCCACAAGTCACAATCGAGGCATGGAAAGGCCAATTTCTTTTTGTTTTTTAATTTTTTTATGAAAACAAAAAGTTTTTTTTATAAGAGTAAATTTATTATTATGAAATAAGTTATTTAAAATAATTTTTAATAATTAAAATACATCATAAACATCTAAAAATTGATAAAAACAATGACTTGTCACTACAGGATATATAACCTCACTCACTTGCCACACACTAACTGGGATCTTTTTTATTCGTTGAAATGTTACACGTCACCGTGTGACATTTCCTTTCTTTACTTGTCATTGCTCATGCTCTAACACTAGTACATATTAGGTTTTTAGCATAGGTTTTTATGGACCTTTTGCATCGCTTGTGTACCAATACAATTGCTCTAGTTCAATTGCATAGGTTTCAAAATAACCGATGCAGTTGATATTATTTTTTCCACTCTCACTTTTCATCTGACTCAAAAAATATTTTACTAACTTTTAATAAAAATTTACCTTTTAATTTACTCCTACTAACTATTAATCTATCTTTCTTATCATATCTACTTACTACGTATTAATTTACTTATCACATATCATATCTTATCCTAAAGTAAAAACAAAAATAGAAAGTAACACTAAAATGACACATTCCATCAATCTCATTTTTTTGAAGTGAAAATGTTTCATTGAAGGGAGGTGATATAATACTTACTCTAAATATAAAATTGACAAATGAGATGACTCAAAAATGAATATAGTACTAGACAAAAAACGTTGGGACATAAATAATAATAATAATAATAATAATAATAGTGAAATTTGCACTAAATAGGACTAAAACATAATGACTTTCCTAATGTAGGACTTAAACTTTTTTATTCTCTAAATATGTCTTATTAATGACCTAGTGGGAGGAATAATGTCCAGTAATGCTAGACATTTATTTGAATAATGACTACTTTTTAATGACCAAAGGTCCTACATTGGGAAATAAAAACATATGGTCCTATATTGGGAAAGTCATTATGTTTTAATCCTATTTAGTTGAATTTCTCATAATAATAATAGAGAGTAATACCTCCTCAATATGTGTATTTTTATGTTTAAAAAAAATCAAAAGTAAATGGCCATTATTTAGGAACTTCATATGGAGTATATAGAAAGCAAGCCAACAAACAAAAACGGCGGCATTATGTCGAACTCATAATAACCCGACACCATTTTTTGGTAGCCTAATAATATTCTCTACAGACCCCTCCATCAAAATTAAACCTCTTTTAATTTCTTTAAGCTCAACAAGTTTCATTTTATTAAAAAAAATTAATTTCAATTTTAAAAAATCGGTTATTACAGACCTAAAATATAATATGGACTCAAAACATTTGTTGACCAAATCAACAACTCCTAAATGTTAGCAAAGAAATCTACCTAAATACAACTTAAATGTTAAATTTATGTCAAAACAGGTGATTATTTACTTTTATCATTTAAATATGAACATTATATTGACATTTTATAATGTCACAATGTAACTTGGTATTGTATGATATCGTTTCACACTGTCTTTTGGTATACGAAGTATATATATATATATATATATATACATAATCGAAACCCTATCACATTATAATTCCTATTTTACCCATAAGTATAAAACGTTTACACCTTAGCTTAATTAAAGATCTATTTTCATGTACTGCATGGGACATTTTTTTGATTTTTAGTTGAATAGTAATCACATAATTTTTTAAATAAAGTACTGGGTATTTTTCAAAAGGATAACTACAAATATATCCAAAAATTACCTTTTCAATTGTTTCCCGCCACCTCAAGGGTGTTTGGTTTATCCACTTCAATTCATACAAATACGTGTACATTATACTTTGATGTATTTGGTCGTGAATGAAATTACACAATACTTTTAACTTTTTTTATTTATTTATGTATGCACTTGTGTGTACGTGTACGTGGTAGATGTAGTGATGATAGAAAAGTTAGATATTTTTTAAATAGAGAGAAAGATTATACACAGTTCTCTGTTCGAAAAAAAAGTCACAATTCACTATTCAAAAATCATCGTATTCTTTTATTTATTTGTACGTTTTAATTAATTTCTTGATGAAATAAAATATTTTTTCACCTTTTATTTTGAAGATTTCTTCACGTAGTTTTACAATATGTAATTTTTATTTTTATTTTTATAATAATCTTTAAATAAAATGAACTTTTATTTTGTTTTAAGACAAATATTTCGGGAGGGAGGGAGTATTGCTTACGGCGTTTGTTTTTTGAATGTTTGAATAATAGAGTCATGCGTGCAAGCTATTGTTGGCACACAACCATTTCTCCATTTTGTCCCTCTTCCCTCTCTCATTTTTAATAAATAAATTAAAACCTTATTATTATTATTAGTTTTGTACACACATATATATAAATGCTCGCTATTGTCACTTTCTTCATCATTTCTCATTCTTCATCAGATCCTCACACAAATCTTTCTTTATACATATATATACATACATACATACACATAATAAAAAATAAAGATAAAAATCTCTGTCTGATTCTCGAAAGAGACATTGATTTAATTAATCAAAATCCCATCTTTAATTAAAACTAGTACCCTTGAATATATATGTTCTTCTCTAATTCTAGTTGCAGCTGCTCCTTTCCGAGAATCATGGGGGCTGCTCAGAGCATCAAGAAACGCCGCGTGGCCGAATCGCCTTCGTCTTCTTCTTCTTCGTCGTCGTCTCCGTTCCGCAACCCTCGCCGACGAACGGAACTCATAGACTCGTACGAGTCCGTGTGCCGGTCGGACGCGGACCTGAACGACTTCGACTCCGCCCTCCGGTCGAGAACCAACAAGGTGCTTCATTCCCTTGCGGGGGGCGGGGTCGAGGTCAGGGCGGTGTCCTTCGACTCCCTTAAGGACGTCACGGAGTGCCTGCTCGACATGGACCAACAGGTTGTGAGGGTAATCTTGGAATGCAAGAAGGACATCTGGAGGAACCAGGAGCTTTTCGAGCTCGTCGAGGAGTACTTCGACAACAGTCTGAAGACGTTGGACTTCTGCGCCGAGCTCGAAAAGTGCCTGAAGCGGGCCCGCGACAGGCAGCTCCTGGTTCAGGTCGGGATTAGTTCCGACCGGAACGAGGAAGCCCTGGAAGAGCTGAAGAGCTTCCGGGAAGCGGGGGACCCGTTCTCCGAGGAGTTCTTCCAGATCTTCCACTCGGTGTACAGGCACCAAGTGTTGATGCTGGAGAAGCTCCAGTCCAGGAAGAGGAACCTGGACAAGAGGCTGAAGCGAATACGGTCCTGGAGAAAAGTCTCTGGGATCATATTCGCAGCGGCTTTCGCCTCAGTGCTGATATGCTCGGTGGTGGCGGCGGCCGTGGCGGCCCCGCCAGTGGCGGGGGCGCTCGCGGCGGCTGCCTCCATTCCGCTGGGGTCGATGGGGAAGTGGGTCGACTCGCTCCTCGGGAACTACGAGAGCGCGGTGCAGTGGCAGAAGGAGACGGTGAGCGGGATGCAGGCGGGGACGTTTGTGAGCATCAAGGACCTAGACACTATAAGGGTGCTGATTGATAGGGTGGAAGTAGAGATGAAGTCGGAGGCGGAGAGGGTGGATTTCGCCATTAATGGAGGCGGCGGCGGCGGCGGGGTGAAGGTGGCCATTGAAGAGATAAAGAAGAAGGTGGATGTGTTGGGGAAGAAGATTGAGGAGTTGGGGAAGCAGGCCGATGTTTGTAGCAGGGATATTCGCAGGGCTAGGACGGTCATTCTGCAAAGGATCATCAAACACCCGGCCAAACAATGATTGATTATTCTATATTTATTTGTTAGTACTCCGTATTAAATTTAAAAATGGTCCATGAATGCATATGTTGCATGAAATTTGTTATTGAATTTCATGAAGAAGAAGGATGTGTTTAATTACTGTAATAAAGATGTACGTTAAATACATTTGGTATGTAATTAACTAAATTAAACTAAATGTGCCGCCTCGCCCTCAATTTAAATCAATTACTTCCTCTGTCTTAATTCTTTCTTCCCAGTTTGACTTTTCCTCATTTTTAACTTTTGGCTTTGACTTCAAATTTTATCCTCCTTAAAAAATATTTTTTGAATTTTTTTGCAATCATTCAAAATATAGAGTTAGAAGATAATTGGTGTAAATACATGAGGATATTAATGTCATTTGTCATTTTTTTTCTAATGGGAAAATAGATTTAGGACGGAGAAAATGGGGAAGTGGGAAGAACATTTTAGGACAGAGGGAGTAATATATTATTGAATATCAGAAAATTACTCCCGACAGTCCAGCACCTTGACTTTCTGGTAATGACTTCCAAGTCCCACATTATTTGAAATACACTCTAGGGAGTCCTAAATTTTTTGGTAAGAACTCTCAGGTCCCACATCATGCGAAATATACTTCGGGGTCCTTAAATTTTGTGATATTATACTTCGAGGGTACATTCCGTCCATTTAGGTGTTAGGATCGAAAGTTCTTTAATTTTGAGAAACTAAAGAGTTTTATTTAAATTTAATAAAATAATGACTATGAAGCTAAAATTTAGTATTTTTTAGAGTACCAAAACTTTTAATCCTAACGGTCAAATAGACAGAATATGCTCAAAGAGCACATTACCACTAATTTTAAGGACCCAAAGTATATTTCAAATAATGTGGGACCTGAGAGTTCTTACCAGAAATTTGAGAGTATCTGGAAGTATATTTCAGAGAATGTGAGACCTAGGAGCCATTACCAAAAAATTAAGGGTATCCCGGAGTAATTTTCTGTATTGAATATGATCGATAGCTGCTCCTAGGGCCTAGGGGTGTGCATTGGTCCAAGACCTGACTGGATCAACCGAAACCTGAATAAATTAAAGGAAATTCGAGGCTCGAGAACCGGACTAAATAAGGCATAGACCGGTCTGGGACCGGACCGAACAAGATAGTTTTTAAATTTAATTTTTTCTATTTAATTTCAAGTGCCTAATTGAACGAATGAATTATTATCATTACTATTATTATTATCAATTATTTATAAAAATATACTTCAAATAATTTTTTTTTGTATTTCTTCTTTGGAAATTTATACGGAGTAATTAAATACACTACATAAATCAACTTTTCCATCTCACTTATCAATGTTCTCATTTGGCACAATAAGCTACTTCCGCTATTTTAAAAATACGGAGTGCTCCGTAAGAATAAAAGAGGATATATTAAAAAGTCATGTAACACTGCATTTGATTAACAATATCTTTAAAAATATACTAGCAAAATGTTAAAAACGTATTTTAAAAGTTTTTTTCAATATAATTATTATGGTTTAATTGCTATATTTTTACTCATTATAAATATATTTTTATTCATATAATTAAGCAAACATTTACTACAAAAAACGAATCGAATACTAAAAAAGATCACATAGTAATAAGTACTTCATCCCTTCCATAAAAATGAGAAGTTGCCCTTTATTTTTTCTTTTTTATTTGTCCTAGAAAAGATAACACTTTCCAATTTTGGTAAAAATTTCGTGGTCTATATCAATTTTGTTCTCTATGTACCACTTTAATTTAATCACATAATTTCACTTTTTTTTATTTCGTGAGAAGTCAAATACAAGAAATTTTTTTTAGGCGAGGGAGGGAGTATCTTTTTTATTTTAGCCTTGCATTTGGTTTGGCGGAAGGATGAATTCTAAGATGAATGCTAGTCACAACTTTAATTTATTTGTTTTTGGTCATTTGAATTAAGATTAACAACTTGTGGTTAGGGGTGACATATGAGGTTCATCATGAACCCCAATTGGCTGCTTTTAGGCCGGCAACGTCACTACATTAACTGTTTTTCAAAATGAATTATTATTGCATCCCTTTTTTTTTTTTTGAAATCTCCTGTTAGTTTAGCAATTGAAAAGTTAAAGATTTATTCTTACACTGGTTTTTATAATTCTTATTGTTATAACATAAGAAATATTGTCGTGAGTTTCGACATAAGATGTTGGAGATGTACAAAATAAATCGGTAGAAAAAGGACCAAAATGATCATTTTCCTCCAAATACCGTTAATTTTCTTTTGATATCGGAAATCATTAGGCAAAGGCTAATTAAATTGCCATTGGTCATTCAACTCTCCATTAGTTATGCAGGTTGAGTCATTCAACTACAAAAATTCTATAATAATTACTCCTTCCGTTTTCAGTGTATTCGTGTAATTTAATTACTTTTGTTACTCGGTATTACACTTATAATAACAATAATAACAACAATTACTTTTGTTATTACACTTATAATGACAATAGAAGTAATAGTAATAGTAATAGTAATAATAATAATAATAATAATAACAACAACAACAACAACAACAACAAGGAAAAATTATTGAGAATAATCTATATTTTACCTGATCTTTTAAAAATATTCTCACTTTTCGCTGTGATACATAATAATCACATTTTTTTTGAAATGTGAAAGTTTTAGGTCGTCGTTAAGCTACCAACGATTGGTTAACAAAAATAGACTAGTTTGCGTAACAAAATGAAAGTTGAGATTTTTTTATACAATTTTATAATAATTGCTCTTATTGAATCACAAAGACTCTATTCTTATATATGGAAATTACAAGATCGAATTATTATAGTAAAATAGGAATTATGGTTACAACATACTACCTCCGTTCCTTAAAACAGTTTTTGTTTTGACTTGGGAGAGATTACCTTCTAATTATACTCTTATTATCAAAGAAAAAAAGAGAGACAAATCATTTAAATGACTTATTATATCAATGCAAATTGAAGAGAGTATATTGTAAAAACTTAATTTTTAGATATATTAGCCATTTTTTACAAAAAAAAGGAAGTGTTTTTGGGAAAACGAAAAAAATGAAAGAGGAACTGTTTTAAGGAACGGAAGGAGTAATAAAGAAACAAATATAATAAAGAAGGTAATAAGTAATAATAATTGTTTCTTATTATCTCTCGCAAGCTGATCAACAGTAACAAGGGGCAACTTGGAGCATAAGCACTATAACAGAGCTGGTAGAAGGAGCTTTGTGCAGAATATCTGCTAATTGTTCAAAGGACGAAACATGATGTGTAGCTGGTCTACCATTCCGACGGTACGGTCTACCGTGCCGGCGGTACTTAGGTACCGTCCGAGCGGTAGTTCGTTACCGTTCCGCGTATAGTTTTAAACAGCTTCATCTTCAACCTCGGTCCAATTTCTTAAAACAATATTTTAAGCTTCTAAGCTTTAAACTAACTTCAAAAAAATGTTTTCTAACGTCCATAAATCATTCATAAACGATTAATTTGAAGTTTTAACAACAAAAACAATTAAGTTTGGTAATAATGAATATAAAAAATATTTACATTTTCAAATATTTATGAATCAATAAGTTCAAAGATCATTATATGTCTTCTAAATTTGTTTAAAATCATGGTACAAACATGGAAATCCACGATATGAAGCTCAACAAATGAATGGGAGCAAAACAACATCTGAATCCAAGAAATTCATCATTTCTGTCACCACGGTAGCAGCTCTTATTTTCGGTCCATATTTCCTTCGTTACTCAACAAAATCGCGAACCGTTTAAAGCTTCAGATTCCTAAGACATAAGGCTACAACTTTTTTTCAGAAACCAGGTTAAAATAATTAACGAAGTTTAGATGGTTTAAAAATGGTGAAATTTGCACTAAATAGGACTAAAACATAATGACTTTTCTAATGTAGGACTTAAACTTTTGTATTCCGTAAATAGGACTTAATAATGACCTTGTAGGAAGAATAATGTCCAATAATGATGGACATGTACTTGAATAATGACTACTTGATAATGACCAAAAGTCCTACATTGGGAAACAAAAACATATGGTCCTATATTGGGAAAGTCATAATGTTTTGGTCCTATTTAGGTAAAATTCTCATTTAAAATTTCACAACTTAAAATCTGTACATCAGATTTATTCATAAATATATCGTTGGATTCATCTCTTTCGAGACCTATTCATAAAACTCAATTTTAAGAAAAAATCATTAACTACAGAAATTCTTTCATTTTTAGTCAAACATAGAAATAATACTTTGTTGGGTCAAAATATAACTTTGAAAATAATTTTATCATAAAAAACTTTTAGGCCATGTTTTGGAGCGTTACAGTCCATGTCTTGGAGACAAAACCCCCCAACCCAAACTCGATCCAAAACGGGGAGGAAGCCAAAGCGAAGGTCGAGCCGCCCCAGCACCTAGAGCTCTTAAAGACCAAGGAAAGCTGAGTCAAATAGTCGTCTGTGGTCACGAATAAAAAGGGCAAGTGTCCAGTATAGTGGCGGATCTAGAAATTCAGGCAGATGGGGGCACAATTGATTGGGACAGCGCCCCTGATTTTTTAAAAAAATAGACAATTTGAAATGACAAAAATAATGAATTTTATTTTAAACATTTATTGAATGTAAAATTTTATTTTAAAGAATAAATAAAATGCAATAAAATACACTTTACTTCAATAAGATTAAACAAAAAATTTAAAATTAGCTTAAATAAATAAGGTTCCATTCATTTTTGTAGGGAGTTAATAATTTGAGATGGGGGCATGCGGCCCAAAGTATAAGAATTTTTTTTTAAAAAGAATTAGTTTAACACCAAAATTTAGTTGGGGGCATTGCCCCCCAATTGTTTCCAAGTAGATCTGCCCCTGGTCCAGTAAGTGAACCTTCCGAACTGGAACCCTAATTCTGAGTATGAACATATATAACTTAATATTTATTCAAAAAGTATAGGAAAAAGTCATATCATTACTCTTAAACATATGTGACTTTATACAAATGGTCTGAGATTTAATAAATGATCTTGGTGCTCCAATATTGACATATATTTACATGGGTGCCCAACATTGAGAGCAAGGATATAAATAGATATAAATTTTTGGAGCAACAATGTAAAAACATGAAAATTCAAGGAACATTGATATTATTTATGAAATATAAGAGTGTGTATGTAAAATCGAGTAATTTTACGAGGAATGGCGTGAGTTTTTTTCAAAGTATAAACGATCAAGAGTGAATTCTATAATTGATCTTTGTAACGAAAGATTTTTTTATCTAGTTCTCTATTATCAAATATTAAATTCATGGTCGTTTTTTATGAGTGCTTTTTCACGTAAGTCTTTTTTGATTCAGTGTCATGTTGGTGGTCAATTAAGGTCTAAAACTGTAATTTGAAATCGACCTTATGTATGATAATATGTTCTAATGTCATCTTGACGGACAACACAATAGTAATAACTATGGTTGTGATTTAAGATTCTGACCAGAGTTGACAAAAGACAAATCAACATGGATACTTGATATTGGCTATTACAACAAAGATACTCCGTATATGATTGTTGTAAAATTAAACACTATCATAATACAGAATAGAAGGTAAAAAATTTATCGGTCAAAAAGTACTCATAAAAAAGATTACAAATGTAATACTGTATTTAATATTACTCCATCCGTTCCTAAAAGGGTTAAGGAGCAAAATAGGAGTAAAACATTGATTAAAATCCAAAATAGGAGTGAAAACATAAAACCCCCAAAATAGGAGTTGTTGACTCACTGTTTGCCGCCGCCAGGATCTGCCACTTTCATCACCCCTTGCTCCTGTTATCGTCGCACGTTGTCGGCATCACTAACCCCCACAGGTGTAGTTCCATGGTGCTACATGGAGAAAAAAATAATTTATACAGTGTCAATCAAAAATACAATGCTAAAAATGACAACATACAGTTACAAACATGACAGTGTAAAATGCAAAAGTACAAAATTTTAGATCAATCGAAAACAAAATGCCAAAGATGTCAATGCACAGTGACAAGCGTGGCTCTGCAAAATACCAAAAGTTCAATTGTACTCGGTGATACATGTGCATGCATCGAGCCCACGAAGTCATTAATTATGTGAAGAAGACAAATTCTTTCCAATTATTTTAATCTACAGAGATAATTAGGGGCTTTTCTTTTGGGGAATAATAAATCAACCATTCAGCCCAATCCACTTCAAAAACCTCCATCAAAAGTTGCTATAATTAGACTTTTCTCCATTAAACAATTAAAATAAACAAATACACAATCTCTCCATTGTTAGCTCTATGCCAAAAAAACAAAAAAAATCCTAAGGCACAGGAAAAGTGGACTGGAAGTATAAGTTGTACAAGTTGACGTATTTTGGATGAAAAATGCTAGGGGTACACCAAAGGTGTACCCCATATGTCCCCCACCCCCTCCTTGTCCACTAAAAAAGGCAAAAAAATCTAAAAAAAATAAGTAAATAAAAATTAAATAAAAATGTGTGGTGGAAAAGGTGACGGTGTACATTTGGGGTACACCTTTTGGTGTACCCCTAGTATTGCTCATTTTGGATGGATTGCACAGCTTTGGTCTGTAGTTCTGTTCAAGCACTTGATATAGTTTCGGTTCTAGACACTGTGTCCATCCTTTCTTCCGGCGGCTAAACAATTATATTGTACCATAAAAATAGTTAATTACTCCTATTTAGAGGAGTTTAAGTTTTAACTCCTACTTTGAGAATATAACACATGTTTTACTCCTATTTAGGGGGTTTTCTTTTCCTAAAAACCTTTCTCCTTTCTTTTTTCATCTGTCCCAAAAAACAGTTCTGATTTCTATTAAAAAGTCACTTTTACCCCTTACTTTTTTATACCCTACCTATCACATCATTTCTTTTTACTAATAATCTACACATCAAATCCTACTTTTACTCATTACATCAAACGATATTTTTGGAAATTAAATACCAAAATACACTCCCCTTAATTTTTTTCAAAATCAAAACATCACATGTTTAAAAAGGGACGAAAGGAGTATTACTTCGTATTTAAAGATAAAAAACTAAAAGACTAATTATTTTAATTCAACAATCATAGCATCTATAGTCAGCTCTTTTCTGGGACGCATGTTTTTCAGGATAAACTCACTTGCCCTGATCGCTTCTAATGATCAATGGCGAATCTTAGCAGGAGTCCTTTAAGATTGACACAACCGCGAAACCCAAAACCAAATTCCAGTTTCGGTGCTCATTTTTCATCTCACAATTTAAGAGTCCATTGTGTGTTCAAAAACAAGGGCCAAACTTTCTCCTTCACGATTTCCTGTAAGCTCAGCAGCACCAGAAAGTATCAGTGCACACATGAAAAGAGTGTTCCCGGCAATATTAGGCTGCCGGAATCTGACGGAGCGCCCCCGCTTATGGAGGTTGGCGACGCCGGAAATGGCAGCCCTCCAATGGATCCACCGCCGGTGAAGAGGAGTAAAGCGGGTGGTTTGGGGCTGTTAATGAGATTTCCCAAAAGGGTAGTTTCAGTTTTGGCTAATTTGTCCCTGGCTTTAGCTGAGATGTTTACCCTTGCTTCCTTAATGGCCCTAGGTATTTTATTATTTTCATTGATGGTTTGGTTTATTTCCAGATTTCTCTTGCAGGAGATGAAGTTTATATATAGGAATCTAAATTTATATATTAGCTTTTGTATCTATATTCTCGGGGACGGATCGTAGTTGTTAACATTTGAAGAGAAACAGTCTAAGACCTTATATGTTGGCGTGTTGTCGTCTATTAATGTAGGATGATTTAACATAAATTTTGTTGTGAATGCCACTGTTTGGTTTTACATTTGTATTGTTTAGGAACACTGATTGAACAAGGAGAGGCTCCCAATTTCTATATTCACAAGTTCCCCGAAGATCATCCGATGTTTGGGTTCTTCACTTGGAGATGGGTTCTCACACTTGGATTCGATCACATGTTTTCATCTCCCATATTCTTAGGAACATCTGCTCTTCTAGGAGCATCACTGATGGCCTGCACTTACACAACACAAATACCATTAGTTAAAGTAGCAAGAAGGTCTGTTTTAGCTTTTAGGTCTCCCAAATAGGTTCCTTATTCTATCCATCTGCCGAGTTAACAGCTACGGGCGGGACCCATTTGTAGGTGGTCGTTCTTACACTCGGCTCGGGCAATTCGTATGCGTGACTGTTCAGACACTTTAACTAACGCATCTTTACAAGATTTGGGTGTCATCTTGATGGGAGCTGGATATGAGGTCTCATTTCTTTACTACCATGTAATTTTGTATGGCTCTTCTTTTCACTTCAAGTTTTAATGGCTGGCATGACTCTTTGTTTCTGCATTTCTAGGTATTCCTAAATGGTCCGGCTCTATATGCTTTTAAGGGATTGGCGGGTCGAATTGCTCCTATTGGGGTACACTTGGCACTTTTGTTGGTGATGTCCGGTGGAACTATTAGTGCCACTGCCAGCTTTAAAGGGTCAGTGAATGTTCCACAAGGTCTCAACTTTGTAATTGGTGACGTACTTAAGCCCATGGGGTTTCTGTCTACTCCTTTAAAAGCATTCAATACTGAAATTCATGTGAACAGCTTCGACATGGACTATTATGCTAGTGGAGAGGTATGCTTAAATTATGTTTTAAAATTGTTTAAGTATCCTACATCAGAAGATTCAAGAAAGCATAATGGATGAATAAGGCCTTGTAATTGAACCAGGCAATCAGTTGGATTCAGTCTTCTAGTGTGATTCAGTCCAAGTGTGTTATGTTTGACCGTATTGAATGAATCTTAAATTCTACAAAAAAAAGATGGTAAATCGGTAAAAGAGTATTTCCTTGCAAACTTTTGAACCCTAAGAACTGATCCGTTTTTTTTTTTTTGTGGTTTAGGTTTCACAGTATCATAGTGATGTATCGCTATACGACCTCAATGGAGAGGAGGTAATGAGGAAGATAATAAGTGTTAATCATCCGTTGAGGTATGATGGGGTCACTATATACCAAACCGATTGGAGTATTTCGGCATTACAGATCATGAAAGATGGGGAAGGGCCTTTCAATTTGGCCATGGCACCTTTAAAGATCAATGGAGACAAGAAGCTATTTGGTACATTCTTGCCCATTGGTGATGTTGAGTCTCCTAATGTAAATGGAATGTAAGTTCTTTTCCACACTATGGGGGTGTTTCTCTGTGCTGGCCCTTATTGGCTTATTGCTGACAAGTAGATTTTAACTTATAAGCTGCTTATAAGTCAAATATTCTTTAACTAAAGTAAAATGACTTAAAGAATAGACAAGTCACTTGGAAATATTCATAAATGGTGAGGGACCGTTTTGTAAATAATTTGGTCAAAACAGAGAAACGGAAAAACTAGCTTAAAAATAAGTAGCTAAGACCTACTTATTTTTTCTGGCTTATAAGCAGCTTATAAGTCAGCTTATAAGCAGACAGAAACATGTCATCAACTAACTTATAAGTTAAAAATTGCTTATAAGCAGTTTTTACCAGCTTATAAGCACAGAGAAACACCCACTATATAATGGGATGGGGTCAACAATTCTGCTGATGTTTAATACTGCTATGCCTCTCTTTTCTTTTCTATGTTGGTTCTTTGAGAGTCCAGATCAATGATAGCGCGTGATTTGCAGTCAATAATCCTTTACGATAAAGAAGGGAAATTTGTTGGAGTCAGACGGCCCAACTCTAAGCTTCCTATTGAGATAGACGGGACGAAAATTGAGATAGTAGATGCAATTGGCACTACTGGGCTTGACCTGAAGGTAATGATAATAATAAATAAATCAATGCCCTAAGGAAATCTTACTTTTTATCATTTTATTTAACAACTTCTTGCACACACCTTAGACTGATCCAGGGGTGCCAGTTGTGTATGCCGGTTTTGGAGCATTAATGCTTACAACATGCATCAGTTACTTGTCACATGATCAGGTGAGTTCTGTTCAAAAATCATCCGAAATAACTTAAAATCTTTTTAAAATGTCTCGTGTGGATAAAATATATAAAAACCCAAACAGCTAAACTACGGAGTAGCATATAATGCCTTGGGCTACGTCTCCTATCAGGTTGAACTTTTTTATGATGGAAACCCCAAGTCTTCAATATATTACTCCCTCCGTTCCTTTCCTTTTTAACAGACCGTTATGATTTTCTTGATACATTAAAAAAATGAATGAATGTTGACATACTTTATGTCCACTTTCTTGATACTTTTTAAAGAAGTCTCAGAGCATCTCTCCCATGTATCCATATACCCTTTTAACTCATTCATTTTTTAATGTATCAAGAAAGTCATAATGGTCAAACTGTGTAATACTCAGAAGTGCTAACTGTGGTTGGCTTTGTGCATTTTTTCCAAATGGCCTAAAAGATATGGGCCTTACAAGACGGAACGGCGGTGGTGGTGGGGGGAAAGACAAACAGGGCAAAAGCTGAATTCCAAAATGCAATAAACCGGCTGCTTGATCAGGTCCCTGAAATTGAAGAATCTTCTCCTTCAAAAGAATCCGGTGATCCAAGTAGCTAAATAAGCTCTGAGGCGTTTTACTTGGGATGGAATGATGGATCAGAGGGAAATATAGCAAAGCTGCAAAAAGGAGACATTGATTTGCTGGTCTGAGACAGTTGGAACGAGGAAGAAGAAAAGCTCTTCTGCAGATTGGCACTTGTAATCCAGGAAGATGTGAATTCTCTCTCATGGGTGGCTTTGAATTGTAGAGCACAGATGCATTTAGGGTATGTTTGGACTCTGCATGTTGGAGTACCTAAAAGTGTAATTAAAAGATGAGGGGGTCAACATTATACGAAGTACAGTGAAGTATTAAGTTCCAGACTACTATACTACCACATTCTATTGAGTACTCCCTCTCTTTTGTATATTTTTTAATTTGACTTGACATGATTTTTAATAAAGTGAATGGTGTGTGGTTATTATTTGTGTAGAAGAAAGAGAAACATATGTGTCACATGATCATTTTCTTAAAGAAAAAGCGGAAGAAAATTTTGAGTCAATCCGAAAAAGAATGTGAGTAGATAACTATGGGACGGAAGGAGTATTATACGGAGTATTATAGTATGACACTTGTTAATTTGAACAGCTTATGGCCCAATTGGGGGTGTGATGGGGGGTTGGGCGCGGGCAAGGGGTATCTTGAGGGGTAGGATATACTTCATGGTCCAACGGTGCACCATTAAAAGTGTTTAAATTGGCCAGTATCATAATAAGACATACTCCCTCTGTCTCATTTTAAATTCAATGTTTGCCTTTTTTCTCCGTCCCAAAATAAGTTGCCTGTTAATTGTTTTCGTAAACTTTTAAAAATAAAGTACCTAAACTACTCCTAAAATAAGTCACTTTTCTTAACCTTATCTTCTCATTCATCATCACTCCTCTTAAAAAGTAATGACAATTTTGGAAAATTAACTTTATTTTTTATTTTCCTTAAATATCCCCAAAATTCAAAACAGACGATTTAAATTGGGACGGAGGCCAGAGGGAGTAGGTGGTTAGGGATGACAACAGGTCGGATTCAGTTTACGTTTTAGTATAACCAAAGCCGACCGGACATAGTTCGGTCTAAGGGGAAATTGGATCGGTTGCAGTCGGGTTCGAGTTGGATTGTCATCTCCATTCAATATTACAGAATTTTACTATGATATTTTTGATGTTCTTTCAAAATCAAAATGACTAATAAGTTCATTTCAAAAGTTTATCAAAAGATAGTCACAAAATGACTAATAAGTTCATTTCAAAGATTGTCACAAATCACTCGTGGAAATATAATTGAGCGTGAATTGGTGTTATATTTTATATACTCCGTAGAATAACTTTTTTAATGCCTGGACTTTATTACAATGTACGGAGTAGTATATATTCATACTTTTTTCTCAATCTAATAACGCACACAAGCCAATGCCTCTGCCTTTGTTGGAGCTCAAACCTGGGTGAACCTCTCCATGAATCCTAAAGAACGAGCTTCTTACCACCCAAGTTGGGAAAGAAATTCATATAGAATAATAACTTAAGCAAGGCACTCCGTATATTCTAACAATATACGGAGTACATAAATTGCAATCAATGAACTTTTCTTTATAAGTGTTTTCTTATTCTTCGTACTCCTTTTATTACATTAAAATTATTGTGCACGAATTGGGATTGAGTTTTGGGTCGGGTTCTGAATTCTAAAATCCCAACCCGACTTAATCCGGATTCGGGTTTTATTTCAGCGATTCGGGCTCGAGTAATTTTTTTCTCGGTTGATGGATGCTCAAAGCATCTTTTGTGTCACAAAGTGAATGCCCTTTGTGCATAGAACATGAACCTGAGTTTAGAGGGACAATTGTGTCATTTGTGTGTGTGGGCGTGTGTGAGAGAGAGAGAGCATTTGGCCTAGTTCGGAAGGACCTAATAGACTTAAGAAGTATATATAACAAAACGACCCTAATATATATTATTATAAACTTGTAGTATCTGATATTAATTATTGGTACAAAGAACCAGTCTTGTATGAAGTATAGATTGCCTGTATCATAATAGACCTCCAAACAAGGCATGGCGTATATCATGCTTAGTTGGCATCAATTGTATTACATGTCCTTCAAGTTTATGCCTGTTGCAGGGCTTCCTCGCGCTTTATATCAAACACCTTGATGAGGACCTCTTCCACAACCTGAAAGTGTCCATTCATGGTTTCAGTGCTTAAGCTTAAATTAAATGCAAATTTAATGCGATTTGACTGCATATTGTCCACAAATTCATAGGAAGTAAGAAGCAAGAAGAGCTGTTGCAGCTAAAGAGTCGTTATTGACAATATTCTAGATTTGGATAGATAATAATCTGCTAAATCAAAATGATGCATTAAAATTTAAAACTCTTTTGCATCTTACTTTCTATGATGTATTGAGTAGTAAATGAACAATACATCAAGAGTCTAATGGAATCAACCTCTCTCAGTGGTAAAGTTGTGTACATGTTGGCTATTCAGTCCCAACAGAGTCTCACCGAATACACCAGGTTTTGTTGTTGTTGGTTTGCAAGGGTACAAAAGTATAGGCAGACACAGGAGAAAATGTAAACTGCAATTTTTTTTTAGAGAACAATACTTTAGAGGGATATTTTGTATGGAGTAATACCTTATCAGGAGTGGATGCACCAGATGTCACCCCTATCGTGAGGGGTCCTCCAGGCAGAAAGTTCTCTTTCTCAACCAACTCACCATGCTGTTTTTAGAGAAAAATACAGAATATTCAGGTAAGGAGGTGCAATGGTTGAACTTAATATGGAGTAGTACATAATAACGATATATTCAATAGTATCACAAGTGATCACCATTAGCTTGTAACTTATTTTGTTTCCAGGACCAATTCTCTGCTCACAGTCAACCCAATATGACGGGATCCCGTGTTCCTCTGCAATCTCCTGTAGGTGTGAAGTGTTGCTTGAGTTCCAACCGCCAACTACCAACATAAGATCCATCTTGTCCTTTACTAGCTTATACATGGCATCTTGTCTCTCCTAAAGGTTATTTGCAATTCATCAGGAATGGATTAAATTCCAATACCATACAAGGAACCCAGGGAAAAAGATCAACGACATACTTGAGTAGCATCACAAATAGTGTTGAAACTCATGAAGTGGTTATTGACGTTTTCAACTCCATACTTGCGCATCATGGACTTCTCAAATAATTTTCCTGCATACGGGACAAACAGAACCAGCATGTAAAGTTTTATATGGGAAGACTATGAAGGGTTTAGTCTATACCTTGAATTCTTTTTACATACGGAGTAAAATATTTCTAAAAAATAAAAATAGATAATACTATGTACATGATTAATATGTTATAAGATTATCTACTATGTTATTCCTTCACTTTTGTCTAAGCTCACACACACACACACAGATGTGTGTGTGTGTGTACACATTTCACACACACAAAAACATAACAACAAACCCTATAATATCCCACAAAAAGTAAGGTTTGGGGAGTGTGCGTATGGCAGACCTTACCCCTACACAGTTGGTAGAGAGGCGGTTTCCAAGACAAAATAAACATAGTAGCAAGAACAAAGTAAGAGCAGAGAGACATGAAGCGCCACAAACCGACACTAGCATCTAGACCCAAAGCACAGAAAGCGCGTGCGCGCGCACATACACGGATGAAGAGGATCTCAACCTCTAGATTGGTTGCCTCTGTTGCCCAATGATCAGATTAGGATCAAGAGACTGAGATCATCCAATGCCTGATAGAATTGGTCAGACATGCCTAATGAGAAAATTCCTTATATATATAGATCAAGATGTAGCTATACATAGCCCTCTAAAGTCTAAAATCCTCCTTTCCAACAGACCTTTTTGGCTAGAGGGTTTTGGTCTTGGAGACGAAGAATTTGGAGGGGTTAGTGTCTTACTGCCTTAGTCTATATCTTGATAAATAAAATACTTCTAAAAGCAAACAAAAGGTGATTGAAATGTTATAGAGAACATGTATTATGTTGATCATTCATTTTATATAAAATCTCAAATACTTATATCAAGATATGGACATCGGCATCCTAGATGTTCTTTTCAAACAGACCCTTGATGGAAAAATAAGCATGTGACATAGAAAAAGACTGACCAATCTCTTCAGTTTCTCCCTTCAACATTGTTGTCTGGTTAGCAATTCCAACTTTACAGAGATCGGAGTCTGGGTCAAAACCTTTGGAAACTGCATATTTATATTTCTGCAGGGAATATAAATTTCAGAGCAGCATGACTCAACATAATTGCACCAAGGTCAAATGAACAACATGAGATCAAACAAATGGAAAAGGCAGCAGCTCAGTTGCACCTCCAGAAAGGCTTCTTTAGTTGAGCTAGAACCATCAAGTTGACCTCCAAGAATATAATCACAGACATATGCTGCCTGCAGCAGGTATAGGGCTCATAAAATAAGAATTAACTTTGAGTGTCTTAAAAACAGTTATAGTTTTAAAACTGAACAGTTTACTTTGTATAATAAAACGACACAAGCAGCCAACATACCTCTGTCATGTTCTTCACAATGATGTATTTTCTTGCAAAAGATGCAGTGGCTATAGTTTCTTCATGAGCATATTTACCATGAATCACGGAGGTATATTCTCCTTTTTTGTGTTTCTCAACTACATTCCAAACCTGGAAAGAAAGATTGGAAAGAACTATTGATAGAATTTGATTGCATGAAATACCAAATGATGAATATGTGACTTAAAGCCCGCGTGTTAAGACCTAAGAGGGCTTCCTGGTTGAAACTAACTGTGACAAAACTGAATGAATTTGCTATAATTATCTTTAAATTGTACGAGTACATTTTTAAACAAATTAAATAAAATAACATAAAGATGAAGGTTGTCGAAATGCCATTTTTATTAAAGCAAGCCATTACCAACAAAACATAATTTTTGTATTACTTTATTCATTATCAGCCAACACATTGAAATTAGTTAGTGTTTGGTAGTAAACCAAAAAATGTCTACCAAAGGAGAACTTGGATAAATTATTTTTGCAGAAACTATAGCTGTCTCACCTTAGATACCCATGGGCAGGTTGTATCAACTACTTGTACATTCTTTTCACTCAGAGTTACCAGCTCATCAACAGAAGCCCCAAACGCAGGCAAAACAACAACATCACCCTTGTCCACAACGTTATAATTTTTCTGCCCTTGATCAACAGGTATATTCTTGACTTCCATTTCCTCTAACCTCTGGACACAATGAGGAATAACATTTCAGTATAAAAGCTCCAAAGCTCAATGTTCTAATAGTAGAGTAAAGTCAGTATGAACTGCCTTATCTCTAAATACAGATGAACAAAGAAAATTAAAAAAACTAGAAGCAGACACCTTATTCACAGTGGGGTTGTGTATAATTTCATTTGTGATCCAAATCCTTTCTGTTGGGAATTGTTTTCTTGCTTCATACGCTATCTGAACCGCTCGCTCAACCCCCCAGCAGAAACCATAGGCTTCTGCCAGCTTAACCGTTACATTTCCCCAAGTATATTCAAAGCCATTTTCTTTCAACTTCTTTATGATATCACCTGAAATGTGATAATTTGAGGAAAATCTTATGATCCCCTCTGTTCTACAATCGTAGCAGACAAAAACACAAATTCTGATCCACAAAGTCTCGAGCACGAAATTGGGGGATAAAAATAGCAGATACAAAAGTCAAAAGCAACAATAGTTCGGTGAATTCAACTTACTAGTATACTCGCGATTCATGAGCTCCAGAGTTTCATCTTTGTGACCAAATCCCTTGCGATTGTAATTCGCGCTCCTGGTCAAGTTCTTCCGGAAGGTCTTGGGATCAAACTCAGAACCGACTATGGCGGAAGAGGAGGCCGAAGCGGTTTCTGCGGAGGAGCATCTGATGACAGATGGACGCTTTCCGAGCAGGAAGATTCTAGAATCCGGCGAAGAGATATTGGTACGGAGTGGGAAACCAGAGAATTGCAGAAGAATTGCCATGACTTTAGGTAGATGAAAGTGCGCACGTTAGGCAGTATATGAGTTTTATAACTTGCTTTTGAGAACTCTTATTTTTGCGTTTAAGGAAATTTTTTAAAGAATAATGGTAGTGTACACCATAGCACTTCTATACTATAAACGGTGTCGTTCCACAGCCACTCCAATTGAGTGGCTTCCCAAGCCACTTTTAGGCCCCGTTCCGTTCAACTTATTTTTTCTTATTTTTTCTTATTCTTATTAGAATCAGATCAGATCAGATCAGACCAGATCAGATCAGATCAGATCGAATCAGATCAGATCAGATTGAATCAGATCAGATCGAATCAGATCCAATCAGATCAGATCAGATCCAATCAGATCAGATCAGATCCAATCAGATCAAATCAGATCCAATCAGATCAAATCAGATCAGATCAGACCCAATCAGATCAGATCAGGACTTATTAAAATCAGATCCCATCAAGAATTATTATTATTATTATTATTATTATTGTTGTTGTTGTTGTTGTTGTTGTTCTTAAAAATGAAAAAGAATAAACTTTAGAAATAGATTAAATAGAAAACCGAGAAAGTAATCCTTAATTATTAGACGTCGGAAAAATTAGTTTTAAAATACATTAACAGTGTCAATCTAATTCTACTTTTAAAATATATTTTTATTGCTACTTGTAATTTGAGTTTCTAAAGTTTTGATCTTTTATAAGGATGAGATATTTTAAAAAAAAATACTATCTCTTCTATATATTGATTATCTAAATTTAATTACTTTTTAATGTATATCTAAATTAAATATTTATTCTAATGTATATATGAAGTAATTATTAAAATATTAAATTAATATTCTAATATAAAATAATAATCATAAAATAAAAAATATTATTACATTATAATATGAATGATTATTCTAATGTATGAATTAACTATTTTTATTTTATTAAAAAATAATTATCAAAAAAAATATTGATTATATTATACTATGAATTATCATTACAATTTTCAAACGTTATTATAAAGTCAAATCAAATTATTAATTTGAAATTTTAAATTAAATCATAATTAATCAGATCAGATCAAATCCAATCAGATCAGATCAGATCCAATCAGATCAGATCAGATCAGATCCAATCAGATCAGATCAGACCAGATCATATCAAATCAGATCAGAACTTATTAAAATCAGATCAGATCAGAAAAAATAAATTGAACGGAACGGAGCCATAATCTCTACCCTCCATCTCCACTAATTTTAAATCAAAGGCTCATATTTCTTCATCATTTAAACCTCAATATTACGAAATATGGAGTAACTTTGTTTAGTTCAGATCATATGGAGATGAGAATTCAACAGAAAAAAAGAAAATAAAGGCGTCTACGATAAAGGTGGGTTGCAAGAATGTATTGAGTTTGAAGTTTGATAAAGAAAATGAGAAGTGGGTTATCTTTGCATTCAAAAAAGAGCTCAATCATGCTAGTGTTACTCCGAATGAGGAACACTTTGTGCCTACTGGAGTTACTATATATAGAGAGAGCAGTGTTGTAGTGATTGAATTGTTTACTATATATAGAGAGAGCAGTGTTGTAGTGATTGAATTGTTTAAAGAACTGTGCTATATAGTTTTGAATGTGGCGCTAGAGGAAGGGGTTGAAATAATTTTTTACATATTTTTTAGTCATTTGATAAAATAATATAATCATGTCACTTCTTGTTTTGTAGAACATTTGATGTTATTTTAAATATATAATTTTAGTTTTTAATTTTACACCTATAATCAAATAAATTGAGTTGAAAATAATATCCTATATCAAAACTTCATTAAAAAAAGTTTACATATTCTTCTATTTTAATAAATCATTTCAAAAGATACTCCGTAAGTAAAGGAATATAGATATATACTTTGGCCTAAATTGTGAAAATAAAGTTTACTTTTTAACAAAAGTGCCGCAAAAGAACTGTGCTATATAGTTTTGAATGTGGCGCTAGAGGAAGGGGTTGAACCTTCGACCTTGTGGTTAACAGCCACACGCTCTAACCAACTGAGCTACTCCAGCTTGTGTTCTAATGCTATTTGTAATAAGATATATAAATTAATTTATTTCACAAAACAAGTTAAAAGTCCTTAAAGCGGGTGAGTGTGTTTGGCGATAGAGCCGCCACACGGTGCGAGTGGAAGGCGGGAACCCCTCCCCCTGCGTCCCGCAGGATGGAGCGGACATCCACACCGTTCTTCTTGTTGCAAATTCGATCGTTTCCTCTTCTTTTTTTTTTTAATTCAACGGTTAGATTTAAAAATAAATTATTTACACCCTCCCTTGTAACTTCTTCTCTCACACTTCTTTCATAATCTCTTCTTAATTTTCAAAGATTATACAATCCTTTTTCATCCTTCAATATGGATCCATCCCGTCTCCGACCATCGATGTCCTCCTCGACTCTTGCCTCTTCTACTGGGGAGTTCGCTCAAATGCCAAATGCATTCGTTCAAACTCCACAATGTCATGAATGGCAGCAAATGATGTTCCAACAATATCAAGAACAACGGGGCTCGATCGCACCACGATGGAATATCCCCGGCGGACCGTCTCGACTCTGGACTTCGTTTCCCTTTCACCAGACGACGTTCAACAGGCTGTGTGCGAAACACATCCTCCAAAAAATGAAATGGAAAGCGAAACACCGAGATTGAACAAGCGACCAGAGCACCCCCAAACAATGGACGGTAATCGAGGAGAAAGCATTGGCCCGAGTGTGGGTTAATGTTTCTCAAGACCCCATAAGAGGTATGTATGGCCTGAAATATATAATTTTTTCACTTTTTTATACTTTTTATTTTATCTTTTCACCATTCTTTTTTATTTTTTTCACTATCATGTAGGGAATGCTCAAAGCGCCAACGGATTTTAGACAAAGATCACCAACCAATTTCATACCCTCATAAATGTCAAGCCGTACTTTGGACACCTGATTGCTTCCAAGTACCAAGGCATGAACGAAAAATTCAGGAAATTTGCCGGTCATTCTACATCATTAAAATTTTATTTAAAAAAAGTAAAGCTAATCGAAAATTTTATTTCCATAAAAACGTTTATCAGTATTCGGTAGCGCACCAAGGACCTGGAGCCAAACTTGAGCTCGGACATTGTTGACTCACAATCAATTGCATATACAAATACAACAAAATCCAATCCAAATTCCTTTGTGATGTGTTTGGGAACTTGAATTTGGATTTCAAAATCAAATTTGATCCAAATTACTTGTTTGAGATTTCCAAGAATTTGGATTTGGACCAAATTCTTTTACTTCAAAACTAACTCAAGTACAAATTCACACCTCTCCCCATGCTATTTAGAAATTCAAGTCCAATTTTTGTTTAATTTAGAACTTATAATTAAAATGTGATCTCTTCTTATGTAATAACAATTTCATACATATCAACCCACTTTCTTTAGTGTCTTTGCCGACTTCAGATTCAAATTCTAGAATTAAAATTTTATGACTTCCCAAACAACATTTAGAATTTGAAATTATAGTATTTCAAATGTTGGAATTGAAATATAAGATTTCAAATGAATTCTAGTTCCCAAACACTACCTTAGGGAAAATGCTAGAGTGCCCTCAAATGGTTGCTACCATGGGTGCACCCAAGCTTCTCACAGATGATTATCATCTGTGTCATCTGTGCAAAGCTTAGGTGGACTGACGGTAGCAACCATTTGGGGTCATCCTAGCATGGTCCTTCCTTCGACGTCTAAGAAGTGAAGATGTAAGCAATATACCAAAAAGAAAATAGAGAGAATGTGCTTTGGTGTCAAAACAATGTTCCAACTCAAATATCCGAGCTTAATTCAAGTTCAATACAATATCTTCAATCTCAAGCAAACATATATACATTTGAGCTCAGCTCGTTCGCGCCCGTGGTTGCGATGATGATAAGCTTCTGTTTGGATGTGTTCCTAGTCAAGCTCAAAACACTTCAATATATGCACTTTAATCACTAGTAGTACAACAAAGATTGTGCAGAGGCCAAGTAGCAGGAAAAACCACAAAGATTGTGCAAAGCCTATGCCAGAAAACTAATCATCACACCATGAGGCACAAGTGACAATGAAGTTGATATGGGCCAATTTCTCACCATTTTTGCCATGATCCAGCTTCAAAAACATTTATATATAAATATATTACTGGCACAACTAGTTGCAGTTAGATCTGTACACTTAAACTTGAATATATATATATATATATATATATATATATATATATATATATATATATTTATATATATTTATATATATATATATATATATATATATATATATATATATAAAATAAGAATAACAATGATCATGAGGAGCAACTCCACTTATGTCAATGCCTGTCCAGCATCTCTGCAGGCAAGTTAAGATCAAACAAGCACTTCTCCTGTCTAGCCCGCTTCCGAGAAGAAGAGGTGCAGCCATTATTCTCATCTGAGCTTGCAGAACATTGTGGTGGCTCATCATCTGAACCTCATTGGCAGCACTCACACATTAATGTCCGAACCAGTCATTTTAATTAAGCAACCATGGAAACATAATATGTCAAGAAAAAGTAATCCTATTTATCATCCGGTTATGGATTGTTTGCATGGGGAAAGAAAAGGAGAGGAAAGGAAATGAGGAGAAGAAAAAACGAGAAATAAAAAGAAAAAGTATATTGTTTGGAGGAGAAGAAAATGAAGAGAAATAAAAAAAATAGATTCTTTCCCTTGTTTGGATGGAGAGAAAATATGATAACATAAAATGACTATTAATCCTTATGTGATAATGTGCGGCCAAAAGAATAATTATTACACTTCTCCAATCCCATCATTTTGTTGCCACTTTAGGAGAAACTCTCCCTTTCCCACTTAGCCCCTTTCACTTCCCTCTCTATTTTTTCTTCAATCCTACGGGAGAAAAAAGATTAGGATATGAGTTTTCTTCTCCCCATTTTTCTCTCCAAATTCTATCCATCCATCCAACACAAGTGTAAAGTAACTAAGAATATGTTTGAAAGCAATGTGTTGGAGAGTTTTGGAGGAGAGGACTCCGGAGTGAGAAAGGAGGCTTTTTTTTAAGAATTATGGTTCGCGGTAAAAAATAGAATAAATGAATGACCACATCATTGGCCATACTGATAAATCATTTTAAATTTTTCATTTTTAAAATTCATCACTTGAAAGCATTATAGTCTTCAAATGAAAAATAGCCCTCCCCCGTTGCCTCCACCTCCAAAACCCTCAAAGACAAAAGAAATCTGCAACAGCCCTCACCCCCCTTTTCTTTGTATTCTAATGGGGAGGTAAGAATGTAAGACGCATTGAAATCGAAAAGAAACAAGATGGGTGTGAGACCTATCTTATGCTACGGAATTTGTTTGGGGTCGGAAGAAGAGAGAGATGTCCGAATGCTTTATTTTAGAGGGGTAAAGCACATAAGAATTACCGGGTATCTGGTCAACCACTGTTTGACCCTGATTGTTATGGTTTGTATTGGCATTCCACCCAGAAGTGAGTTCCGTAGCCCTTTCGATGCCCTTTGACTGGTACGGTGCTATGCTGTGGTTACAGTACACAAGTGAACCCAATAACTCATTTTCTATACAGTCATACCTGCAACAATGTTGAAAATTTAGTGTATGCTAAGAAGTATAAGATATTTTTCCCCTGAAGTTTTTTTTTTTTTACATAAGCAATAGAAGGATAACATTTAACCGTCTCAAAGACAGCAGCACTCACATTTTCTTGCAGAGAGTATCAGTGAGTACAGAGAGATTGATTATTTGCATCCTTGCTTCCATTATTTGTTCTTCACTGAACTCATCAACCGGCTCCTCAATAACTTTAGATAGTTTCTCGATATTGCCCTCAAGCTGTTGTTGCTGGTCTTCAAATAAGTTTTTCTTAATCTCCCTTTGCTCATTTGTCATTTCATCCTTAAAAAGGTCACCACCAAACATGTAATATGCAAAGGGGTAAGAGTAAGCCAGAGCTCTTCTTGATCTGAAGAGTCTATAGAGTCCAGTTGTAATCCAGCTAAAATCCTTCAAATTCAAATCTCTCGCCTCTAAACTTGCCACCTTATCTATAGTGATCTCCTTCAATCTAGATTCCTGTTTGAACGAATCCATATGCCCTTTATACCGATTATGGTAGTGCATATACCTATAAAGATCACGCTTTGCTCTTTCAGCTTTTTTTACAGAGTCTTCTACGAAGCGGCCGCAACTGTGCCCAGCAATGCGGGACCATGTATGGTCTCGTCCGGTAGCTCCACCACACAACCAACTGCAATGCCATTTAAATTTTTAAAAAAAGTCAAATGAAAAGCTGAATCTTGTGGTTGTGTTCTTTCACCTCAGCAGTTATTGTTTTAACATCATACTACATAGTTGTTATTAAAGCCTATGAAGCATATATCCACTAAAGGCATAAAAATTCAATAATAAATAAATACTCGTAATTAATTAAATGGAAGAAGTGTTACCAAAATGCTTGGCCACACACGCAGCCAACTAAATTGCATCCACCATTCTTCTCAACAGGTTTGAGACACTTGGGACAAGGTTTTGTGTGAACAGTAATCCAATTTACAGTTTCTGATTCATCACGACACTTCTTGGCCCAGAGCTCCCACATTAAGCACGAGCAAGGGGAATGTGCTTCTGATAAGCAGTTGAAACAAAACTGCAATCCACATGAACATTCCACTTCAAAATGTTCATCATTTTCAATGCGTATAGCATTTCCACAGTGGGGGATACTTGGGCACCATTTAACCATCTTATTGTCCTCTATGTATGATTCAAGAAGAAATCTTTCAAATTTCTCTGCTAAATCAGGATGATCTTTACCAACTAGCTTCCTTACAACTGCCTCATCACAAATGGCAAAACATTTGTGAGCCATGCACCTGATCCGCTTACTCTGACCTTCCTTTATTTTCACAATAAAATGCTCTGTCCAGCCTGTAATGAGCACAAAAGGATAATGAATATTTGCAGAGATGAAACCCGAATAATATTAACAAAAATCATAATAACAACAACAACAACAACAACAACAACAACAACAACAACAACAACAACAACAATAATAATAATAATAATAATAATAATAATAATAATAATAATAATAGAAGACTCCCACAGCTGAAAACAGTAAACTGATCAAATAGAATTGAAAAACTGAAATATTCATAAAACATAAGCTGAAAAAGACAATAGGCCCACAACTGCTTTTTTACAAACTTTAACATATTATAAAAGTAGCACCTTACACTTACGCTTTGTTTGGATAAATTGGAACGTGGTTACGTAATGTATACTACGTGATGTTTGGAAAGCTAGTATTGTATGGTATACACAACAACAACACCCAAATGCCTCAAAGGCTCCTGCCCATTGCGGGGTAAGAGGGGTGGATGTACGCAGCCTGACCACTATGTTTAAGACATAGAGTGGATCACCCATGATGAGCATCGAGAGTTGCATTGACTAACTGCTACTTCACTATCAAAAGAAGCACAAATAGTTTAAAGAGCCTTTTTTCTTTATTCCATCATACTCCAAAGCAAAAAAAGTGAATCTATGGCTCCATCAAACAAGATGGAAAAATAGTATTGTATGGTATAACATATAAAAGTGTTTGGACTAGACCGTTTTCCTGGTTTGTCCATTCGACTCTTCTGATTACGGAATTTGATAATTTATCCATGAATGTCAATATATAGAATCTGCTATGTGTGCATGTGTGTGTGTGTGTGTGTATAGAGAGAGAGAAAGTCTAAAATGACACCAGTGCTACTGGTGTCATTTGCTTACGACGGTTTGTTTAGGGCACCTATGGTGCCCCGTTGGTAAAAATGATGGTTCCCACCCACCCTCCCCCCCCCCTAACCTACCCTCTAAATCCCCACCCCTGCCCCCCTGCCTGGAGAATGTAAAATGAAGAACAGACACATAATAAACAATGGTGGAGCATATGTATAAACCAAATGAAATCAAATGCATAGGGTGGATGCAGGAACTGAAGGAGAAGAAGCATGTTCTAAAAGATGTGGAACTGTGAAAGTGAAGGATGATTCTTGGCAGCAGGGTTTTCTGACATCTGTCAAAGAGGGTCCCTGACAAGAGTTGATGCAGTGACAGCCTCTGTTTTTCTAGCGAGGGATCCACCAAGGGGAAGAGAGTGGTTAGAGATGAGGGCGATATATTGGTTGTGTAATGTGATTTTATTAGGGAATAATGGGAACATAATCTTTGTAACCACAGAAAACCATTGAATTGGTGGTTTTAAATTCATTGGAGAATATATTCATTTTATAAACCACGGATTACAATCGAAAACAATACCGCCGCAGTGGAAACAAACAAGGTCATTAAATTTTTATACCATGCAAAACCATGGAAAATCATGAGAACCCATGAAACAAACATAGCCTTAGTTCACACATTTCTTAATCAACTTCTTGATATAAATTTTCAAAACTTCAATATATTGAATATGACATCCAATTTATATTATTTATAAAAATCTAATAATGGTGTAACTTCTCAAATCATGAATTCATAGCTTCAGATCAGTCAGATACTACTGCCTTACATTGATTACTTTTTTCTATCAGCTCCTTAACTGATTCTTTAACTATCTTCATGCAAGTTCTGAATTCATAGTTGACCAATATCTTAGGTTTTACACCAAAGAAACTTCTAAAGATCACTACCATCAAAACATTGCACATGAAATATGGACGTTCTAATTTCTATTGCTCTGTAATAACTTTACCTAGCATACACGACATGATGATCTATCAAAATTCAACAAACCTAGTAAAATCCGACATAGTGGAGTTTGGGAGGCTATTTCATGAGACCCTGGCTTAAAAAACAGGTAAATGATA